CGCTTTACGTTGAAGGACGGTGTAGTCAGCTGGGTGGCATCGACACAGGATCTGAGACTCAGCACAGGCATTGCAATAATGGATTGGAGAGGAAAGCACAGAGCCAGAGTGTGCTGGAGGACACTTGTGAGTGAGTCGACTGAACTGGAGAGTGGAGAGAACAAAAGCGACGACATAGTGGCAGGGCAGAGAGATACGGGAGATGGGGGTCAGAGGCAAGGAGTGAAATGCAACGTGCGTCATAAATGTTTTAAGTACAAAATTTCATGTGATACTCGAGCATTACATAAGTTGAGTCGTATTTACTGATAGTTCCTTTATGAAAAATAATCATTATAATGATAATTAAGATATTTATTAAGCTTGTAATCTTACAAAAAGAACTCCTACTTATTATAAACATTTATAAAACTTTCATACAGATTATAAGTATAGAAAATGTCTTATTATTATATTATATAATAGATATAAGTCTTTCTCTTCAAATATAATACTATTATAATACTTTTACTCTTTATATATAAGTATTAAAAGGTATGTACTCTTCATATAAGACTATTAAAATATATTTACCATATTATATTAATGAATAATACTGATAGAGCCTTTATAAGAACATATAAGACTGATTTTTACCTTATAATAGAGTTAAATACAGATAATTACTATATATTCTATATATTAAACATATTGCACTTTATAATAACTATAAGATCATATATAGATTTTGACTTTTTCCTGACGCATTCCATGATTATTCTCTGCGTGCGATTAAGACAAGGCATACGATTACGGAGGTAGAGAAGTTTCATGCGGCGAGTGGTGCGATTCTTGGGATTGGAGAGCCTGCTGCGAGTGTGCAGAGTCCTGTACTTGAGTTGACGCTTGTTATCGATTCGTGTATTCTTGAGCATCATCTCAAGCAGCATGCGACTTTGGCATCATCATCACCGACTTCGACTTCGACTTCGACTTTGCGCTTCCCGTTGGTCTCGCCGACACCCTCGGAGCCAAAAATCTTGCTCCTTAGTTGGATATACTATTGCATCCCCGATCTCTTCAACAAGCAAAATATAAACAAGATGTGTATTTCAATAAACAAATTAGCATTTACAATGGGAATGTCATACTTAAGAATACTGTGCAAAACAAGTGTGTACTTATCAGTTTACAAAAGATAGTAAGAAATGAAAGAATTCTACAACGGACAAGACAAAGAGAGAGAACAAGTCCTTTAATTGGTGTAAGATTCAACCATGAACTTTACGAAGATTTAAATTCCGGTCGGATTCTGTGGCGGCCACTAGTACTGTTTCAACTACTGGACCTGGCATTGCCTCGGTCAATGTATTCGTGACTGCTGCATCATTTTCCAGGTAAGTGATAGTCTCGATTGTTGGATCGAAGCATTCTTGCCAGCGTTCTCCAAGTGCAGCACCCTTGAAATCCAATTTCATCGAAACGTTGCAATTGAGAATACCTGTAGTCTGGGGCAGTCAGAGTGTACGTTGAATATCTTGTGGAACCCGTAAAAGACGCTTGCCTTTCGTTCCTAATATCCAACCAAGCCTGTCCAAGGACCAATCTGCAAAGTACTTGCCATCACCTTTGGAAATAAATGTAGTGCTATTAGTCTTGTTGGATTCTACAAGTATTAGGGATAAGACAGTACCTGCATTATTTGCAGCCATGGCAAAGGAACTGTCTTGATCTGACACATCCCAGGTGCAAATTGTTCTGTCTGCAGAGCAGGAAACGACATGGAATCCGTCCGGAGAGAAAGCAACGCACGTAACGCTGGCAGAATGGCCTTTGTAGAATTGAGGAATGATTGTCCCATCATTTACCTTCCAAATCACGACTTCACCAGAGGCTGTGCCTGACACAATAAGCTGTTTGTCAGGTGAGAAGCTAATGGAGCAAATACGGCTCCCCCAACTGCTGCTTCCTGTCAAAGGACTGCTGCTTTCCACGTCCCACACTATGATGCTGTCGCTCCTACTCGTTGAAGCAATCTGTTTCCCATCAAGAGAAAGGGCCAGAGGTGAAATAAGGGAAGTCCCAGCTTTGTCAATCTCAAAGGGACCAGAAACAATTTCTCCAGTCTCAACATTTTGAAGGATGATGGCACTGTCCGTTGATACCAATGCAATGAGCCTGCCATCTGCTAAGAATCTGACGGTGCTGATCCAATGCTTGTGCTCTGCTCTAAACTGGTAAATAATTTCGCCAGTTACAGCATTCCAGATAATGATGGTCTTGTCAGCAGAACAAGATGCTGCACGTGTACCATCCGGCAAGAAGTTGACAGAAGTGACAGCGTCCCCGTGTTCTGTCAATGGTCCTACGTCAATTTTCTTGTTTTCCACGTCCCAAATTATGACAGTCCCATCGTCAGATCCAGACACAATACGTCTCCTGTCAGGCAAAAATGCAACCGAGTTGACACCATCCTTATGCCTGATGAAGGGTGTACACACTGGTTTGCATGTGGTTGTATCCCAAAGACTGATTGCACTGTCTTTGGACCCAGAGGCAATACGAGAGCTGTCTACCAAATAAACAACAGAACAGATCTCATCTGTGTGACAGACAGAGGGGCCTTGATCGACCTTGCTGATTGACGTGTCCCAAAGTCAAACTGTCTTATTGTAGGAGCCGGAGACAGCGTAACTCCCATCAGGTGCGAAAGCAATAGAACAAACTAAATCCATGTGACCAGCAAAAGGACCACAAATGATTTCCCTACTCTGTGTGTTATGGACCACAACTGTACCTTCCTCTGATCCTGATACAATATGTGTGCCATCAGGCAAAAATGCAACAGATATAGTGTGCCTTGTATGCTTAAACGGTCCAAATATAACCTCCCCACTCTTTATATCCCAAACCTGTAGATAGGAATCGAAATTCCCAGAAACAATGTGCATGCCATCCAGAGAGATAGCAAAACACGAGTCTTCGTGTCTGTATCCTACAAATGGCTTGCTGATTACTGTCGTTTTCATAAATATTGTCACACGCGCGATTCGTGATTTTCGTCACACTAAGTACACTCAAATGCAAAATCTATCATAACTCAACTAATACTTAACCAAATTACATGATCTAAGTTGTAAAAATTATACTTTTAAAGTGTCTTTCATATTCCAGAAAAAATAAAGTAAAATGAGCAAAAATTGAGTAAGATACAACACAATATGTGAGTTTTCCCTATATTTCATGTATATGAGTTTTCCTAGCCCTAAAACTGATTGTACAATACTATAAACTAGTCTAAATGAAGAATATAACTTTATTGTTAATTTACATATTGAATTCTAACTAGGATACAGAATATACATATAAGTATAATACATATTTAAGTTTGCTAAAATTGAGCATTTTCCCCCAACCTCTCTACATTCAGGGAAGGTTCTTCTGAGTATTATGTATGTTTGTAAATTCATTCCAAATAAATTAGACTAGTTTCAAACAGTTTTAATAGACTTAGTATGGATTTCTAGTCTAAATGAAGTAGAAAGTCATTATTCTATATACTACTTTAATAGTACTTCTCTGACTTATATAACTTTACTATAACTTATAAAAGTACTTATATTTAATATATTTTGTTTATACAGCTATGTAGAAAAAGTGTTTGTCTTTCCTGATTAAGAAAATGTATTAGTAAGTGATTTGCATTAACTTATTAGGCAGTTTGAGACACAAGATGAAGGTTTGACATGTCTCAAACTGCCTAATAAATTAATGCAAATCACTTACTAATGTATCTGCCTAATCAGGAAAGACAAACACTTTTTCAACATAGCTGTAATAAATTTACAAACATAAGTAATACTCAGAAGAACCTTCCCTGAATGTAGAGAGGTTGGGGGAAAATGCTCAATTTTAGCAAACTTAAATATGTATTATACTTATATGTATATTCTGTATCCTAGTTAGAATTCAATATGTAAATTAACAATAAAGTTATATTCTTCATTTAGACTAGTTTATAGTATTGTACAATCAGTTTTAGGGCTAGGAAAACTCATATACATGAAATATAGGGAAAACTCACATATTGTGTTGTATCTTACTCAATTTTTGCTCATTTTACTTTATTTTTTCTGGAATATGAAAGACACTTTAAAAGTATAATTTTTACAACTTAGATCATGTAATTTGGTTAAGTATTAGTTGAGTTATGATAGATTTTGCATTTGAGTGTACTTAGTGTGACGAAAATCACGAATCGCGTGTGTGACAATATTTATGAAAACGACAGTAACTGTCCTGTACTGGTATCCCATACTTGGATTGTCCCATCTGTAGAGCCCAAAATGATTTGCTCTCCATTAGGAGAGAAGATAATGGAAAGGAAGTCGCCTATATAGTCTCTAATAACCTCAACAGTCTGTCCACTTTTGACGTACCAGATTCTGATTTTTTCATTGTCCACACACACAGCAACAAGTGTTCCTGATGCTAAAAATGCAAGGGAATGTATTTGGTCAGAATGACTCTTATACAGCCCTGAATCCAACTCTCCAGACTCAGTGTCCCAG